ATCCATGGTGGTCTGAGCATCTGGCTTAGTGCTTGATTTTCCTCTATTCTCATCTGCACCCCCACTCTCTTTGCTCTCTACCTGTTATCTTTCCACATCCTTAGTGGCTGACGTAGTCTTTATAACTTACAATGCTATGTTTTACTTAAACTTTGTTTAATAAGATGGTATTATTTCAATAATGAAATTGAAATGAACAACTTAAGCCAGCATTTCATTATGCATATTTTCAAACACAATCAGTGTTGAAAATGTTTCTTTTTGGCGACCTTTTGAGACTTGCTTTGCGGCCAAGTATATGATCAGCTTTGGAGAAGGATCGATGAGGTGCTGAGAAGGTATATTCTTTTGTGTTTGGGTGAAATATTCTATAGAAATCTGTTAGGTCCAGTTGAATCATAATATCTGTTAGTTCTGTTATTTATCTGTTTAGTTTCTGTCTAGAAGTCCTGTCCATTGGTGAGAGTGCAGTGTTGAAGTCTAACACTATTAAAGTGTGGAGTTTGTATAATGTGTAATTTAACCTTTAGTAATGTTTATTTTTACAAATATGAGTACCCTTGTATTTGGGTCATAGAGGTTCATAATTGAGATGTCATCCTGGTGGATTTTTCCCTTAATGTGTATGAAATATCATTCTGCATGTATGTCTTAGTTAAGGTTTCTATTGCTGTGAAGAGACATTGTGACCACAGCAACTCTTTTAAAGGAAAACATTTAACTGAGGGGGCAGCTTACAGTTTCAGAGGTGTAGTACATTATCATCATGTCGGGTGGGGGGAATGACACCATGCAGCATGGTGCTGGAGAAGAAGTAGGTACATGTTGATATATAGGAAACAGGAAGTAGACTGAATGCCACAATCAATGAAGCTTGAGCAAAAGAGACCTCAAAACCTGCCACTACAGTGACAAACTTCCTCCAGCAAGGTTACACCTATTTCAACAAGGCCACACCTCCTAATAGTGTCACTCCCTTTGGAGGCCATTGTTTTTCAAATCACCACAATCTCTTTTGATTAATTTTGGTTTAAAGTCTATTTTGTTAGACATTAGGATAGCTATACCAACTTTCTAGTTATGTTCATTTGATTGGAAAATTTGGGCCAATCCTTTATTCTTTGATGTTGAGGAGTGCTTTTTTTTATGCAGCAAAAGGATGGATCCTGTTTTCATATGCATTCTGTTAGCCTTTGTCATTTTATTGGCAAATTGAATATATTAATATTGAGAAATATTCATAACTGATTGTTAATTCCTGTTATTAAGTTGTTGTTACTGGTAGTTGTCATTTATGTGTGTTTTGTGTGTGTGTGGTGTATTTCCCTTCCTTGGGTTTTGCTGATGTGTGATTATCTATTAACTATGTTTGTGTGTGTATAGTTAACTTCTTTTGACTGTAGTTTCCCTTCTAGTACCTTATATAGGGCTATATTTGTGAACATATATTGTTTAAATTTGATATTGTCATGAAATATTGTGTTTTCTCCATCTATGGTGACTGTAAGTTTTGCTGGGTATATTAGTCTGGGCTAGCATCTGTGGTCTCTTAGAATCAAGATATCTGTTCAGGCCCTTCTAGCTTTTAGAGACTCCATTGAGAAGTCAGTGTTATTCTTATAGGTCTGCCTTTATATATTACTTGAACATTTTCCCTTGCAGCTTTTAATATTCTTTCTTTGTTCTCTGTGTTTAGTGTTTTATTATGTCATGTGGGGAATCTCTTTTCTGATCTAATCTGTTTAATGTTCTGTAAAATACTTTTAACTTTATGGGCATGTCCTTATTTAGGTTAGGGAAACTTTCTTCTATGATTTTGTTAAATATATTTTCTTTTTTGAGCTGAGATTCCTTCTTCTATTCCTACTATTCTAGGTTTGATCTTTTCATGGTGTCCCAGATTTCCTTGATGTTCTGTGTTAGGAATTTTTGTGATATGACATTTTTTTTAACCAATGAATCTGTTTCTTCAGGTGTATCTTCAATGCCTGAGTATTCCATTGAATATGCTTGTGTCTGTATTTCCTGAATTTTTTCTATTTGTACTTTCTTTATTGCTTCTATTTCCTGGCATGGGTAGTTTCCTTCACCTCTTTTGATTCTTTAATGGTATTATTTACATTCTTAAAGAGAGTTATTGATTTCCTACGAAATTTTTTTGCCTTTTCCTCAATTTATTTAAGGGAATTTTTCATTACCTTTTTAAGGGCCTCTATTATCTTAATAAAGTTGTTTTTAAGGTAATTTTTTTTTTGTACTTAACCTGACTTGGAATAGTTAGGTCTTGCTGTTGTAGGATAGCTGGGCTCTGGAGTTACCATATTGCTTATTGTATTACTTATTGTTATTGATTGTTTTCTTAAACTAGTATTTACTCATCTGGATTTGGAATGATTAGTTGTAACCCTTGAGTTCTGATTTTGTCTTTGTTGAATGGGTATTTTATTCCTTGGTTTCTGTTTCCTCTTTGGTTTTCTAGTCTTTGTGGGCCTGAATTTCTGGCAGCTAGAGTGACCGCTAGTCTAGTTGGGAATCTCTGTCCAAGTTGGGAATTGGCCTTCTGGTAGTTAGTTTGGCCACTGGTGCAGCAGAATGTCTCTCTTCTTCTGATTGGTGTGGCCTGCACCTGTTTTTCTGACTGTTGCAGCCTATGCCTGAGCTGCTGAAGTCTACTCTAATGGTTTGTCTTGTGCCTGAGTGGCCGAGAGCCTAGTAGGGTTGGAGGCAAGGTCTAGCTCTGGGACCAGAGATGAACTGGAAAGGCTATTTTATCAGAAGATCTTGGAATACAGAATCTAAGGACTGGGCAGATCCACCTACAGGCAGGTCTCTTACTGGTTCTGATTGGTGCGGCCTTCCCCTGATTGGTGGAGGTCTGTTGAGAATAGGGGCAGGGACCAACAGTGAATTTAGTGCTGAACTGAGATGGAGTGGGCCTTAGGAAGGGCACCAGAGAAAGTGAATTGAGGGACAGAGTCAGTTTCACCCGTAGGTGGGGCACTACTTTTTCTGGCTGGTGTGGCCTGTGCCTAAGTGGCGGAAATTCACTGGGGTTGGGAGCCAGGCCCAGCAGAAGAGTCAGGGACTAGCTGGGAAAGCATTGGCCTGGGAAGGGTCCCAGGGGCCAGAATCCAGGGAAGGTTACACTTCTTCTGGCAGGCTGGTCACTCACCAGTTCTGGCTCCTGCAGGTCAGAAGTCCAACAGGGCTGGGAACTAAGGGGCCAACAATGAGCTGGGGTGTTGTGGGCCTAGGGAAGAGACCTGGGGAACAGGGACTATTGGCAATTTTTACAGCTTACATATTCTTGGAGAGGGGAGGCCTTGTGAATCTCATCAGCTTCAGGGACTTCCTGGAGATGTTGTGAGTTGTTTTCTTCTTGTGGCTTTCCCTCCCTGTAAACATGTTGTGTCTTGATGACGACAGAACTCTGAGTTGGAAGGTTTTAATCTCAGGTAAACCCTTCTGCCTTCCTGGAGTCTCTAGAGGGTCCTGGACTCCCTGCATCTGTCTGAGCGCTTGACTTTCCTCTCTTCTCATCTGCCCCCCCCCCCCCCCGCTCCCTTCTCTCTCTGCCTGTTACCTTTGTGCATCTTCAGTGGCTGACATAACTTATACCGCTATGTTTTACTTAAACTTCATTTAATGAGTTGATATTATTTTGGGAATGAAAAACTTACACCAGCATTTTCATATGTTTATTTTCAAGCATAGCCAATGTTGAAAATGTTTCTGTTCCTGCTGGTAGCTTTGTACTACATTTATGTTATAAAAATCCATGTAGCATATCTATCTATTCATCCTTCCACTCATTCACAAATCTATCATCCATTCATCCATCTTCTATCCATCTATGGATCCACGCATCCATTTATCATCTGTACATTATCATCTGTTCATTGATCTAGCTTTCATTCATCATCCATTTTATTTTTATACATATCAAAATAGATCCCATCCATACCGTTTTAACCCAAGTTCAGTCTGGTTTAGCATTGATTTTTATTCTCTTAAAGGAAAATATGCCCTAATTGAAGTACACAAACATTAAGCATTATCTTTGTGGAATTCTTGCAGATACACAGTCCTCTGTCCCCCACAGCCCTGTCAAGCCATTCGCTTCTAAAAAGCTCACCATATCTCTTTCAAAACAGCTCCTGTCCTCCCTCTCTGAATGTAACTACAGTTCTGATTTTCTGATTTTTTCCACATTAAGTTTATTCCCTGCCCTAGCATTTCACATGTAATTTAACAAACAAAATCAGAACAGCATGAACAAGGGTGTTGACAGTTTCTGAGTCCGGGATGGTCAAAACAGGAGACAGCACACGTGCTCATCAACAGGAGGTAACTAGTGACACATTCTTAGGAGGGAGCACTGCTTCCCAGTGAACGGAGGGAGCACTGCTTCCCAGTGAACGGATTAGCACTGATTCCCAGTGAACCGAGGGAGCACTGATTCCCAGTGAACGGAGGGAGCACTGATTCCCAGTGAACAGAGGGAGCACTGATTCCCAGTGAATGGAGGGAGCACCGATTCCCAGTGAATGGATGGAGCATTGTTGGAAGCAACGGCGTGGATGATTCTTAGGGGCCCTTTCTGAGCTACAGCTTACACCAAGGACTACTTACCGTAGTGACCATCTTTCATCTCTTTTTAATCTCCTTTTAATTCTAGTCTAGAATGTTCCTTACAGCAAGCCACACAGAGTACTCACTCCCTCAGGCACACTTTAAGAAATGATGGTTGCTGTGTGGTGCAAGAGAGATCTTAATTCATTTGACACTAGGTTCCTGAGAAACAGCCAACACTGACAGCACCAAAGGACTCTAGCTTAGCCACACCTATCTGCTGACTCCCAGACTCTTCTAGGCTTACAAGTCTGTGGATGTCCACCCTCCTCCAGAGCTGAGTTCATGTTCATTGGTCTCTGCTGAAGATAGACCATTACCAGGAGCTAGACGGTGACATAACATTACCTTCTTGTCATGTTTTGCAGAAAAAAGAACGCGAACTCAAACTAAATAAGTCAACAAACGCTTTTACCACTGGGAAGTTGACTCATCCTCCAAACATCCCAAAGGACCAGCTGCCCGCAGGGAGCGGGAATGCATCTTCCGCTCCCGCCAAACCGGAAGAGAAGACGGCTGAGAGCAAAAAGACCTATAACAGCATCAGCAAGATTGACAAGATGTCCCGGATCGTCTTCCCTATCTTGTTTGGCACTTTTAACTTAGTCTACTGGGCAACGTATTTGAATAGAGAGCCCGTGATAAAAGGGGCCGCTTCTCCAAAATAAGCTAGGGAAGACCCAAACTTCTCGGAAACTACACTCCCAGAGAAATGGAACCGCAGAGAGCCCAAGCCCACAGAGACTGACTGGGCACTCTCTTTCAGGAAGATTTTTGCATGTTTAATAATCTGTACAAATAAGATTGCCTTGATGTTTCTACGTGTAACTTCCGATGTTTCAAAGATGTCCCCTTAATAAATAAGGCAAACAACCTTCTAGAAAAACGGGAGGCAACGACTGACACTCAGATGCTCAGTGCCCTAACATCAATAGTTTACAAACAAGATAAGTCTATTTTTAACTGTTCCAAGTCTATGACGTTTTTCTACTTCGAATGCCATTTCATACCGTTTTTCCCAGCTGACAAACCATTTTCAGGAGCCCCAGTGATGGCTACTTGACAAAGAACAAACATCACGGGGTGCACACTGTCCATGAAGAGCAAACTGTGGACATTTCAGTCCAGCCCTAATTGCCTTTAATACTTCCTGTTCTGAAATTAGTAACATATACTGCATGAAGTGACATTAAGAAATAGAATAAAGCAAACATTTATGCAGACAAATTTAATGAGAAGCACATAGGGTGTTAGATTAGCAGAACAAATATTTCCCCCAGGGGAAAAAAAAGTGAACTGATTCAAAGTTAACTTTGATTTTAGAGGACACTAAATTTATTCCTACAACCCTAACAATGACTAAGAAAGAAAAGAAACTTAAAACCTTAAAGCCACAAGGTCTCGGTCCTTCTCAGCCTCAGCACTCTGTGTCCGTCGTCTCTGGAACGCCAGCTCCTCCTGCTGCTGCTCTAGTGCTGAGAAACCGGACTTGAGTTCTTTTCCGTTTCATTTCCCTGTACATACTTCATGATTGGATTATCGCTCTGTTAGCTTTTGTATATGAATCTTAAATGTTCATTAAAAAAATTTAAACATGAACTGACCTTGTGGGCATCTGTCATTTATATTTCAAACTCGGTGCTTGATGAACTGACTTCCTGAAAAATGGCATAAAATTCTAAGTATGAACTTGCTTGGAGAAAAAAAAACAACAACAAAGAATTAAAGCTTAGTGGGTGATCCCCACTCTTCAAACCTAATCAGGCAGGGGAAGGCTTTGTGAGGATACTTCTTGATATGGCGAGCACAGACAGGTACGGCAGTCTCTCTTCCTACCCCGATCTCTGTGTGTTTCCTTCAGCACGTTTTCCTACAGGCATGATGACCACTGGCCCTGTCTCTACACCCTCCTTCACTCTGTCTCCTCCCTTATGGGCCAGGTGATAGCTTTGCTGTGTTTTGGCTTCGTTCCCTTCTTCCTAGGGTCTGGCCATACACCCTCTCTTATGGGCCCGGAGACTGCTGATCCTAGCTCTGCACCTGCCTTCAGCTGTCCATGAATAGTCTGGCCAAGCAGGGCAATTGGTTCACCCGCTTACTGTTGGAGGGAATATCAGCAGGTTGGAAGGAACACGCTCTGTCCTAGATATGAAACTCCAGAATTCTAAGCGAGGAGTTGTAACCCTCAAGGATATCAAATTGATGATGAAGCCTCTTTATACAAGGTAGGTGCCAAGTGAATACCTCAACTCCCCTTCTTTCTATGTCTTTTTGTACATGCGTGCATGAGTACATATGTGTTCACGTATGCACACACGTTTGTGTGTGCCAGTGCCTGTCTGTGCTCACATGCAGGCAAGATGGTTTCTTTAGTCACATTTTTTGCCTTATTTTTTGAGATAGGTTCTCTCACTCAGCCCGGAGGTCCCCATTTCCAGTAGACTGGCTGATCAGCAAGCCCCAGCTATGCTCCTCGCTCCACCAGGGCTCCTGTGACAACCACACAGAACCACACCTGGCTTTCACCTGGTGTTCAGGTTCAAGTTTAGGTCTTCACGCTTTACTGGCTCAGCCATCTCAGCAGCTAGCTCGTCTACTGTTCCTTCCACAGCGATGCTCAGGATCTCAGAAAACGGTGACTCTGATATGCCGCGGAAATGTTTTCCTGTTGTACGAGGATGGCATCCATAGGATGACGTGTTTCCGTTACACCAGCATGAAAACCAACATGAAGGTTCCACGTGAAGGCTGATTCTCCACTACTTTTTAATTCTAGATTGTTAGACTCTCTCGCTGTGTAGCATCACACTGCAGTTTGAAGAAGACAGAAAAGTAACATTCTGTCTTACACCTCTCGCTCTCAACCGAAGATGGCACTGTCCTCACCGGGCTGCAGGCAATATTTTAATGTCTGGGTTTTTCAAAAGTCCTTGCTGAACTTGTTCGGAGACTACCCATTTCATTATGTGCCGCTGAGCCTGGAATCTGATGACTATTTACCAAAAATAATCACATTTGTTTTTCCTTCTCTGATTTCATGTTGCAGGCATTCTCGGAGTTTGTTATTTTTAATGGGAACATAATAAAGAATCACCTTGGGGAAATGGTGACGAGGCGAGCAATAACGTTTCTGGAGATAATTATAAATTATATTGCTCTGCCTTTAGAGCTGGAATGATTAAAAAGTGTCTTGTTTATATCACCACAAATATAAAGAGAGGGTGTTCTCACAGTGCACAGCCAGGACTTTCTGTGCACTTTCTGATGAGCCTAAAGGTCTATCCAGGGCAAGTCTTAGTGGCAAATGCACTCTGTTGAAGATGGGCAAGGGGCTGCAAACCTGTCCTTCACTGACTTGGTGTTTCCTAAGAAGCCGCACTTTTGATCTCTACTGGAACACACTACGGGAAACAGCAGCAAGTGAGAAATTTCTGAAACACGGAGACTGCAACTCAAAGACATTAATCCTTTGCCTGAAATCGCAGGGCCTGTTAGGGGAAAATGCAGGACTAGATTTGTGTCTCCTGCTTTCTCAGTCTGGGTTCCCCATATCATAAAACTCCTTTTTTTTGTGAATGCGGATTAAAAGCAAATACGACCCAGATGACAGTCTGTCTCCTCAGGCCTGGGCAAATGCTTCGATATCTTTCCCTCTGAAAACATGGTCCTTACATCTGTACTTTATAATTCTGCAATCCTGGGATGTCACAAATTTGATGCCTATGTTAGTGTATGGCTCCTTTCATAATATAAAGGGAGGGAGGCAGGTTCTGATGGAGGGAGGGGAGAAAGAGAAAGAAAGGGGAAGAGGAGAGAATGGGAATGAATGAAGGAATGAACGAATGAATGTCACTAAATAAGAGACCATGTCTCCTTAATTGGATTTTTCCTTCCAAAACCTCGGCTGTGAGTGATTATGGTGATGAACCAGGAGAGATGAGCCTCGAGGGAAATCACAATGATGACACTGAGTCTTCAATCCACATCAGTCTCCACTGGAAGAGCTAGTGTCAAAGCGAAGAGAAATTCTGCAGTCTTCTCTGCCTTCTAAATATTTAAAAGACTTAATGTTTATTTTTATAACCATCAGAAGAGGTGGAAGAATGATTCTAGGGGTCAGGGAGGGGGTGGAAGGAGGCTACCAAAAGAACACGGCCCATTGAGACAAATAAGCAGGGCATATAGGGGCTCACAGAGACTGAAAAGGCATGCACAGAGCTCGCAAGGATCGGCACCATGTCCTCTGCATGCATATATATANNNNTACACACACACACACACTATTGCTGTTAAGTTGGTGGTTTTGTGGGACTCTTAACAGTGGGAGGGAGCAGGTGTGTTTCTCACTCTTTTGCCTGTTCTTGGGACGCTTTTCCTCCTATTAGGTTGTCTTGTCTAGCCCCAGTATGAGGACTTTTGGCTTGTCTTACTGTACCGTATTTTGCTATGTTTGGATGTCATCTCTTGGAGGTCAACTCCTTTATGAAAGGGAGTGGATCTGAGGGAGAGGGAAGGTGGGGACAGAGCTGGAAGAAGGGGTGAGAAGGGAAACTGTGGTCAGGATTTGAGAAAAATCCACTTTTTAATAAAAAATATAAACAAAACAAAAATAAATAAATTCAACATACAGAACCCAATTGCCTTTATATATACAAACAACTAACTTGATGGGGAGTAATTTAGAAAAAAAGTCCCATTTACAGTAGCTCAATGAAAAAATTCCAAGTGCCTAGTAATAAACCTAAAAGTCGGAAGTAAAATGGAAGACTTCTGCAATGAAAATTTTAGCCACTCAAAACAGAAGTTAAAGAAGATACTCAATGACGGAGAGCTGCCCGTGCTTCTGGACAGACAGAACCAATCCTGTGAAAATAGCTGTAGTGTCAAAAGTGATCTACAGATTCATCGCAACCCCCTCATAATTTCAATGACACTCTGTACATAATTAGAATATTTAGCTCAGAAATTAATATCAAGTCACAAGAATAGCTGACACAATCCTTAAGCCAAAGAACACAGCTAAAGGCACTGTGTTTCTGGACCTCAAATTATACCACATAGCCACAGTGATGAAGAAAATATGGGGCTACCACAAAAACAGACGTGTGGACAGATGGAACAGAGTAGAGGATCCAGCAATAAACACACATGGGTATGGTCACAGAATTTTTTTCACAAAGGTGTCAGAAACACATATTGGAAAAAGTCAAATATTCAGCAAATGGTATCGGTAGAATTAGTTATTGATTTGCAAAAGAATGGCAGTAAGTAGTCTCTCATCTCTCATTCTGCACACAAGTCAGTTCAAAGACTTTAATTAAAACCCTGAAAATTGAAACTGAGAGAGCAAATCACAGGAATACACCCTCAACATGGAAGCACTGACAAGAACCTTCTGCCATAGCCCAGAGACACATGAAGAAGTAGAGACGGTGGCATTTCAAATCAGTTGCTAAAAGTGGTACTTTCCACTTGCGTGGGCACTCAATGAACATCAAAGTTCTACACAAACCTCATCTCAGAAACACAAGTGTTAAGATAGAAACTGAACAGACATCAGAGTGAGAACTGGATGTGTTTTTATCACGTGGGACATTGGGAAAATTTCCTGTCTTCAAATCCAGGTGTAATAAGATATTGATAAATTTGAGTAGAAAAGTATATTTAA